GACTGAAATAGAATTGGTTATTTTCAAAGACTCAGGACAAAATAAATAAGCTATAGTACATTAAAAATGTACAATACAAATTGGAAGTAAAACATCTTAAAGATAAGTTTACAGGAATGATAGTGCTGATATAATAAAAAAAAAAGCAGTGTCATTAGTTGTGAATGTGTTTCTTTTGGAAATTTTACATTCCTTTGTTTTGAAAGACTGGCAGACTTTGAAGAGTTAAAAAGATAATACTGAAATGTGAAGTTTGGTAGCTCTAACTGTTTTGTACTTGACTTTTTTTTTTTTTTTTGACCACTTCAGAATTTCTCATTCTAATAAGATTGTTTCTAAGTCTTTCTTATGTGCAAGCTTTAAAGGATGCACTCTTGCCAATTCATGTACTGGAAGATCAGTTGTCAGATTAATACTGTTTCTGGCATAAATGTAAACTGTATAAACTGATGAACCTCAGCTAATCAGTATTACTTTGTAGATCACCATGCCTACCACATTTCAAACTCAAACTGCCTCTAGGTGTCCAAATGCATTTGTTTGAGTTTGTTTGCGTTTCCCTCGGCTTGCTGGTAATTGTGGTGTTTTTAAAATGGAGATGTGATGTAATATTCTTATTTTCTTTGGATCAAAGCTGGACTGAAAATTGTATTGTGTAATTATTTTTTGTGTTCTTAATGTTATTTGGTACTTAAGTTGTAAATAACGTCTACTGCTGTTTATTCCAGTTTCTACTACCTCAGGTGTCCTATAGAGTTTCTTCTACCAAAGTTCACTTTCACAATGAAATTATATTTGCTATGTGACTGATTCCTAAGACTTCCAGGGCTTAAGGGCTAACTTCTATTAGCACCTTACTGTGCAAGCAAATTTTACAGAATCTCTGGGTTAAGAAATTTGGCTTCATTGTATCCTTTGTTATTTTAAATATATCAAGATATTTTAATTAAAAGTTTTTACCCCATTGAACCAATTTTATATAGTATAATTTGTACCTATTTTGGTGTTTTTTGTCTTTATAGTAAATAAAAGTTTTTGAACAAACTTTGTCCTTTGCTTATTGAAATGTAAACACCTTCAGTTCACAGATGCGAATAAAATATTTCTGGTACACTTCACCATTTACACACAATTTCATATGCAACAGTCAATATATCAAGACTTTTAGTTTCTAGTATTAAATAGTGCATATGAATAAGCATTTGTTGATATATGTGTATCTTAGGTGTATCAATAAAGAATGCTTACATGAAGGGCAGCAGCACAGACTAGATTTTTTTTTAATCAATAATAAAGGTAGGAACTTTTCTTACAATGACACTATCTATGATAAGCACTTGCTTATGCTCTTAGATCAAACATTACTGCAAATGTAACTATTAATTACCACTTTAGGTGAGCTGATTTGGTCAGATAAAGTCTGGAGCCATTGAGGTGTAACCTGAGAAGTTAATCTGCTATTTTATGTTCTCTATGAAATGATTCTTTTGCCTGTGATTTAAGTAGCTAACGAGCCTTTCCTTATTCAGGTAATCTGAATATGTGTTGCAAAGCTAGGGCTTCTTTCAGTTGCTTGTCTTTCTCCTGGTGTTGTTGTTATTTTTTAAATTGATCAATTTTTTGATAGTTGAAAATTTAGTTTAAGTGTTCTGTAGCCTTTTTTGCAACTACTAAATTCTACATTTTGAGGGATTGCTCTCTTTAATCTCCATTACTTACATGACTTTCTGCAAATACAAATGAACATATCAATTCACCAGCAAAAAAACTGGCAGCAGAAACCTTCAGATAAGTTCTCATATCTGATTTTTAAAATCAGGAAAATGTACTAACTGAAATTCCAAGAAGGAAAATATATGACAAGGATTAAAGAAAAGATAAATTCAGTGTAATATATTTTCCTTTATTTGATTTCTTATAGAACTTCTGAAGGTTATAGTACCATGTGGTAATTATAATGCTGCAGTCTCCTTTTTAGGAAGAAGGGATGGCAGAGATCACCTGTCCCCAGCAGCTGGCAGTAGATGTCAAACACGCCTGCTCATGGAACCCAGTGTCTTCATTTGTGAAGAGCATGTTCAGTTCTTCTGCAGTGAGAACAGCGAGCTGTGGGCATTTCCATTTCTCTGGTGGGAATAACGCGAGGTTCCGAGTTCCCTGTAATGTCATAGGTTGAGGTCTGACAGTTCTGGGCTGAAAGGTGACGACTGCTTCCAGGACATGTGGGAGTGTCCTGAGGATCCCATATTTCCTCTTCATCCTCTGAGTGGGCAACTCGCGCTGACTCTGCCCACCTCCCCAGACACCGTATTGCCCTTAGTGACTTTTCTCTCATTGCTCAGGCTTCCTTGCTGAGCAGAACCACGACTGTGCTCTGCGCCTTGCTTTTATGAGCCACAATATGTATGTGCTGTGGCAAATGTAGGTGCTGCTTTGTCCTTAGGGCACACAGCTGCTGAAATCCAGAACGTAGGTTGTGAATGGAGACCTTTCTTCCCCATCGTTACCGAGACAGTCCAGAAGATGGCAGGAAAGCATGCTGAAGGCAGCCACTGTGACATTTCCTTTTATTTCCCTCAATTATTTCAGTTTGCAATGTATCATCACTCAGTTCCTGTTCTCAGAAAAGATGTGCAAGGCCAACAATAGAATTTAAGTGAAGAGGGAGTAAATCAAGAGGCAATTTATAAATATTTGCAAGGCTCGGAGATGGGAAGTTAATGCTGCTTGTTTCATTGCTTTGGTGGGCCTGCCTCACAAAATCCCAAATCTTGCCAAGAGTTCAGGTCCAGACATAGGAGTATAGGCCCTGACACTGGTTTGAGGTTTGATTTTTCTGTTCACCCCAAAACCAATTCTCAAACACTAACTCTATATGATTATTTCTTAAACTAGTTTCTTATGAAAGATAGATACATGCTGTCATGTTCTGCCTCAACTTCCCAGTAACTTTTGACTTCACCGTCAGATTTTAATTAAAACTGCAGATATGGAGCAGCATCCAAAGACATAAGTTTTATGCAAGGTAGGTACCTAAGCAGAGAAGGGAGAACAGTGGCCAAGGAGATTATAACATTACCCTTATCTTGATATCGCTTAACTTAATGATTTGTAAAGAATTCGGGAGGGGGAAGGGGGCTTTGTTAATTTTTGAAGATCATAGGATGGTTCAGGTTGGAAGGCATCTTAGAGATCATTGAGTTCCAGTCCCCCTGCCATGGGCAGAGACACCTCCACTAGAGCAGGTTGCTCAAAGCCCCATCCAGCCTGGCCTTGAACACCTCCAGGGATGGGGCATCCACAGCTTCCCTGGGCAACCTGTTCCAGGGCCTCACCACCCTCACTGTAAAGATTTTCTTCCTAATATCTAATCTAAATCTACCCTCCTCCAATTTAAAACCATTACCCCTTGTCCTATCACTATACTCCCTGATCAAGAGTCCCTCCCCATCTCTCCTATAGGCCTCCTTCAGGTCCTGGAAGGCCACTAGAAGGTCTCCCTGGAGCCTTCTCCAGGCTGAACAACTCTTTCAGCCTGTCTTCGTACGAGAGATGCTCCAGCCCTCTGAGTGTCTTCATGGCCTCCTCTAGACTCATTCCTACAAGTCCATAGCCCTCCTGTGCTGAGAACTCCAGAGATGGATGCAGTACTCTAGGCAGGGTCTCACCAGAGAGGAGTAGGGTGCAGAATCACCTCCCTTGACCTGCTGGCCACACTTCTTTTGATGCAGCCCAAGATCAACTGCTGAGCAACTGTCGTCTTCTCTAGTTTTTTTTTTTGTTGTTTATTTTGCAAACGATGGTAGACTGTGGCTCCAAAAGAGCTTATGCCCTCACCCCACATGCACTCAAGTCATAAATGCTCGTGGTTTGTAGTATACCCCTTCTGCTTGGCTTGTTAAACTTGCAGTAAATGCCGCTGGCTGATTCACACCAGTAAGCCAGCTGGATCTTCCAAGCTGCAGTCGCTTATGATGCTACAAAGCACAACTCGTCTCTCCTTGTCACCGAAGACAAATACCAATTAAAAGTGTGGGCAGAAATGTTGCAGGTCTGTGTTATTGACCCACTCCTTTTATGACATGGATCATCTGATGCCCAAACGGTCTTCAGCGTAGGTCTACAGATGTTGGCATAGGGCGAGTTGGGAAAGGTGATCTGATGGTGCTGGGATACAGATTTGTCAAGGAGGTGGGGTTCAACCACTGCTTCTACATCATTTTTAATCGCCATTTGGTGTCAGATCTTGCCTTTTGGGATTGTTAAATAAAAGACATTATTTTGATACAGAGAGAGGTGTGTGTATCTACTTGTAAATACGCACCCATGAGTTCTCTTTTCCAGGGCCTACAGGTCCCCCTTTTTGGTGCAAATATATCATGCCTTTACCCCACAGTTAACCAGCTCTTCACACGCAGTTGGCCATCAAAAAACAGGGACTCCCAGCTCCACTTCAGCCCAGTTTCATTGATGAACAACTGCACGTTTTAAAAAAAAAATTAAAAAAAGGTCTTTCACGCTGCCTGCAGGCTCCCCCCTCTCCTTATCTGTGTGCAAGCTGCTCCCAGCCCGGCTGTCGGTGGAGCAAAACAGGCCTCTCCACGGATGCTTCCTCAGGGACCGACAAGATGGCGCCCGGTGAGCCTGAGGGAGCCACTTCACACCTTCCTGTGCCTTACGCGCCCAGTGATGTTACATGACGGTGTTATGCCCTACTTTGAAATGTACACTATTTATGCTCCCGAGTGATGCTTGAGCTCACAGGTGGGGTATTGCTTGTTATTACACCCCGCTGGGCGCCCACGGCCCGCCGAGAACCCGCCGCATGCTCCGGCACGGCCGAACGGCGGGGCTCGACCGGCCCTCGGCGCCCCACCGGCCGCTCGTTTCGCACCGACCAATGGGCAGCGTCGTATGCAAATTTAGACGTCATTAGCAGCGGTGATTGGCTGTGCCGTTTGGGCGGGCGCGGCGCGCGAGAGAGGGCGGTGCCCGCGGGGCGGCCGGGAGGGCGCGCGGCCCGCCGCCATGTTGCGGTCCCTGAGGCGGCGGTGGGACGGCTACAAGTACCGCTTCGTGCCCTGGCTGGCCCTCAACCTCCGCCGCAAGCGCAGGTCAGGTGAAGGGGCAGGTCCTGGGCAGCTCGGGGGGGAGCCCCCCGCCCCCCAACCGCCGCTTTTTCTTCGGCGGGCTGAGGTGGCGGCAGCCGGTGCCGCCCGGTGGGTTTCCCGCAGAGTTTTCCGCCCTCCAGTGGCTGCTGGAGCTGAGACCACGCTCCCCCCTTCCCGGTGGTGACCGGGGGCGGTGCAGGAGCCGCCTCAGGTGTTTGTTTCACTAGGAAGTGGCTGCTGTGCCGAAGCGGTTCAGCCTTGTGTCGTCACTTCACTGAATACTACTTTAAAGTGGTATTTAACATTAAAACTAGATAGATAGGTTTTCTTTTTAGTTGGTAAGGTGTCTTTGCCCTTTTCTTAAAGGTAAAAGTACTGCTTGAATTTAAATGAGTACAGCGTTGTTAAAAGGAGCATAAATTAAAATCTCCCTAGTCAGCATAGTATTTGTCCTCGCCTCATTTCAAGTGTAATGAACTGTTACTATATGCACACTTTCATAATCACGTGTATTTGATTTTTGGTGTGTTTGGCACTAAGCTCTGTGGGTTTAACCTGCTTGCCTTGCTGTAAATACACAGGTTTTATAGTAGGTCAGGTGTGAAAGAATATTCTTTAGAGTTTGAGTTTGTTTGAAGCATCAGTACATAGGAGTTGTACTGTAAAATGGCTCTTCTGTGTTTTATTTAGGAAAAATGTAATCTAAAATACTTTCTTTTTCTGGAAAAATGTAATCTAAAATGCTTTCTTTTTCTTTACAGGACGCTCCGATATGTTCCCGAAAGCTCCCAAGACAAAATTATCTCTGATGAAGATGTCTTTGAAACACTACTGAAAGTATTTAAAGCTCTGTTCATAAATGACTTCAGTAAACAAGCACATATTTTGGCCTTACTTCCAGAAATCAGATGTAAATACATGGAATTACTGAACAGTAATTCTGTTGAACAGAAGGATTCAGAAGTAAATTTGTGCAACTATCAGAGCCAGCATGTGTTTAGTCCAGAGGAAGTTCTGTTTAATACACTGGGGTTCAGTATTACTCGAGACCGTAGTTCCCTGGTATCTGCTGGGACTGGAGTCTTTGTTACCAAAGGTTTTGTACCGAAAGGGACGCTGGTATCTATGTATCCTGGTAATGGCATGTTCTTTTTCCTGATTAAGCTAGATACGTTTCCTAACTATTTAATTGTAGAATGCCAAAGTTCTACACTAACTTTCATTTTACAGGTTTTATTTCCCTTGTTCCCTAACAAAATCACAAGTTATGGTGAATGAGAATATTTTTGTGTAAACTGACTATAGTTATTTTGGAAAGAAGCAAAGCAATATCCAAGGGAGGATAATTTTATTTACCAAAAAAAACATTTCAGTACTCAAAAGTCTGATTTTTCAGCTGCTAGAAAAGTTTTTCCAGATTCTTTAAATACAAATGCATGGGAGCAATTTCAAGTAGATGAACTAAACAGTTTGATTCTTTGGTGTTTCTTTTTTGGATAAGGATCTGAAAAGTGAGCTTTTGAGATCTCCACAGATCAGCTGACCACACTGAACTTTTTTTAAAGCACAAAAATACAGGATGGAGAATGAAAATAAAACCTTTATTTAGCAGAACTCTTTTCCTTAAAGCACATTTGGAAAATCGGCCCATCTCTGTTTTTCCTCCTCATTTCTTGGAGCTGTATTTGCTTACCTTTCTTAAAAAGACTTGTAATTTTCTCTGTAAGGCCAAGCTAGGACTGCTCTGCTGAAATGCTGTGGACTCCTTTCTGTTTCATCTGTCAATGGAATCGCCCCCTGCACACGCTGTGTGGCTTGTGCCAGCACGACAGGATCGGGAACAGTCCAAGCACTGGGCAGCAGAGCACGTTTTGACTCCCCAGAGCAGGAGTGTCTGGCCATTACCATTGACTGGTAAACTGGCTAATTGTCAAATGACAGTCGCAGGGAGTGAGCCTGCCATCTTGCAGCTCACTTCAAATTTCAGGCACATAGTGAGTGTAGGCTCATTGAGGGTCTCCTCTAGCTGCTCATCTAGCGAAACAAGGGGATGAGCTGTTGAACTTTTTCTGCTTTTCATAGAAGGAAGCTGCAGGGCTGCTGGCTGGACAGGGAAACCTGTGGGGAGAGCAGGTCAGTGATTTGCCCGCTGTTGGCAGTGAGTGCAGCCCATCGGTGGGGCCTTCACCTAGCTCCCTGTGAGACTGCAATAAAGGATTTCTACAGAGGGTTGCTGAAGATGTAGTGGGTGTCAGGGATGCGGGACTGCAATGTCATAAAAAATTGCCAGCCAGTCCGCTGCCATATTTCTGTGTGTGGAACCCAAAGCAGGTTAAATCCTGGTCGCAGATTTGGGAAACAGCCTGCTGAAATTATCTGCCTGTTCTTGGTTTGGCATTTTCCCTCTCCTGTACCAAGCAAAATCTGTGATCAGGGTAGTGGAGGGGGTATCTTCGGTTCCTTGCTGTCTCTGTGTGTGCTTTTCGAAGTGTTGTGACATGGTAGTAACAGAACAGCTTAATATCTTCAGCTGCGCTTTCTTGAACATGTGTCACTTGACTTTTTTCTCTCTGACCAAGCCAGTTGGCTGTGATGCTGTATCTACCTCTCTCTACTGCACATAGGTCTTCTCTTTAATGATGATCTTTAGTGGCTCCTCTCTTTGGAATCTCTCAGCTCGTGTAGATTTTTTAATTTTTTTTTTGCATCCCACAAAGATGTGTCTCGTAGGTATACGAGTGTTAGTGGTTTACGAGTGTTAATGTTGTTAACTGAGGGAGGGGTTCTCTCCTGCCCCCTTTGAGTTTCTGGCAGGGGGACGACTGGATGATATCATAAGCCCATTCAGACAGTTAACCTAATTTCTCTGAAATAATCATATCTGTCTTACAACAGGTACGGTATACAGAAAGCATGAGCCCATCTTTTTCCAGTCCCTTGGCAATCCTTTTATTTTTAGGTGCATAGATGGCATCCTTATTGATGGGAACGATAAAGGGCTATCAAGATCAGTGTACAGGTAAGCAGTCAAAAGACATATGGGATTGTCATTCAACTGATTTAAAACAGTAGTACTAGTAGTCTCAGTTACCTGTTTTACCGTAAATTGAGTTATATTTAAATGTCATCTACCGATGTGTATCTCGTAATGCAAACAACACAAGGGTAAGAGGTGCTGGATGTGATCTCTTAGCTTACTTGCTCTGACTTCGTCTGTAACACCAGTGGGGGGCGTTTTGATGTACAGAGACTCTTCCCTACAAGGCTACATTCTGCTCCTGTTTTAACAGCAGTAGGATGTAACATCAAATTTTTTACATGCTTCTGAGCTGCTAGTTACATCTACTCAGTGGATTAAAAAAAAAAAAAAAAAGCCTCTGCATGGACTTGCTAATACCAAAAGGGTGAATCTGGAACTCTGGTGCTGGTGCTCTAGATGCTGCAGATGAGCAGCACTTAACAATAGCAGTAACTATAACAATAATAATAATGATAATAATGTCTCATTTTGGAAGGAAACCGTAAGGATCATGGGGTCCAACTCCCTGCTTCTCACAGGACTACCTAAAACTAAACTATGTGACTATCAGCGTCATCCAGATGCTCCCTGAACTCTGACAGGCTTGCTGCCGTGACTGCTTTCCTGGGAAGCCTGTTCCAGGCACTGACCACCCTCTCAGTGAAGAACCTTTTTCCTAATGTCCACCCTGCTGCAGCTAGCCTGGACTGTTTTAGCTTACTTAAAATATAAACTGTAGCAATTTGTGTTTATATATGATATGAAAAGAAAATAATAACAAGAAAAATGATCTAAAATAATACCTAGTTTGAATACTAATACCTGCCAATACCAGATTTTAAATCTGGGAATGAGTTTGAAGTTGATAGTTTAATGAGCCTTCTCATCTTTAGTGATGAATGTGATGTGAGGATGCTTCTGTAATGGTAACATTTGATGTTGGTTTCTGGAATTGTTTGTGGTGGTTTTGTGTGGGTTCTTCCACCAGAGCCTGAAAGACACCGTAAAAACACTAATGGGAGATTTAAGTCTACTTCTTGAAGTATCATCAAGGTGTTGGTCTGTGCATGTGCCCCCTCCCCACCCCGGTGTTGTCCTGTCTCCCAGGTGGGTTGGACACCTGTAAAGTTACCAGGTGACTGGGCGTTTCTGTGGGAGGAAGTAGGGATAATCTGTTAAGGGAAGGAGCAGTGGTTAACACAGTTAACGCTCTCCTTCGTTCCAGGTCTTGCAGCAGGAGAGATCAACTTGGCCCATTTCAGATGAGCGATGAGAGCTGGCTCACATCTGCCCCGCAAAACCCACTGGCGGTGGGACAGTATGTCAACAACTGCTCCCATGGTAAGTTGCCAGGTAAATTTTCCAGGCTTGCATTTGTCTTTATGGATATAAATTATTTTGGAGATGACACAGAGAGACACATACTGATCTTGGAGGACAATAGTGCTGTTTAAAACAATATTAGCACTTATGGGATAAAGAGTTTTTATGACAGCTGGGTGCTAGGATCCTTCAGTGCAGCAACACTTCAAATATGTTGTGCTTTTCTCACTCACTCTCCCAGATCCCCCAGTCTCCCTTCTGGTATGTAGAATGAAAGGCACACATCCCAAAACGTGAGGTGTTGGGACAGGACCGCTGGGCTGCGGCAGTACACAGAGTTGCAGGTCGAGTTCTGCAGTACGGTTCCGGCAGGCTTCGTGAGAAAACCACACACACAGTGACAAGTGCAGTAAGGTTCTATCATTGCTCAGTTTGGACTGTAATACTCTTTTTAAGCATCCTTAATTTTATGCGCAAAACCTAGGAGACTGTTGGTATGGTCTAGCTGTTGGGCACAAGGAGGGGAACTTTATTTATTCTGTCTCACACAGTATGTGCTGGTCTTTTCCCCCTGGCTGTATTTAGGACATTTTGCCAGCAGGAAAACTTTTTTCAAGTTGTGTGTTTTGTTTTTTTTTATTTTAACTGTAAAAGCAAATGTATTTTAACATTTAGCAATGCTGTAAGCCACCCCTGGTGCTCTGCAAGTTATGCCCCTTCATATACATGTTGATAATCAGGTCATCCTGTTTAATGCAGTAAGGATGAATTATTAAAGATCCTATAGATGGTTGCATATCTCTTGTGTACATTTGATACTTCTACACATCTCTAAACTCTATATAAGATTTTCTCAGTATCATAGAGACTTCTTTTTCTTCCCCTTATTTCTAGAAAAAGCAGCCAACGTGTGTTACCAGGAATTTGATGTGCCGGGGTATTTTCCAGTAGAACTGAAACAGTACCTACCAAACATCGTCTACAGCCATGACATAGAGAGGTTAGCATCAAATCAAAGAGCTCGTGGATTTGTATGATACAAAACATACTGTATGTGTAAAACAGACAAATATGGTTGAAGATACTATTGTCTATCACCATGAGTTACACGAAAGTGTGCGCCTTATAAAAGAATTATCTTTTTGAATAGACTAATTTTAAGTGATTTACAAGACTATTTCTGTTTGATCCTTTTTCCCCATCTTCACAAATGAGACCAGCATAGCTCTGAAGACAGTTTTACAAGCAGTGGTTACACTATAGCATGATTCTTCTGAATCCCATAAAGCACTAGGTATGTTTTGCTTGGATTACAGTACTGAGATTTTTCACTATGTATTTCAAATGTAGTTAGCAACCCTGAACCAATCAAAGCCTTTCTAAGGTAGTTGAGATTTAGGCTTCTTACTCCCCTGTTGTCCATGTCTTCTGCTTACCTGAGGAATAAGCAGATCAATTTGCAAGGAGGAAACCTAAAATGAATTTGTATTGGGACAAGTGAAATACTATGTAGTATAAAGACATGTGACTTTGAGTTACACTACACAATTACAACATCCTCGTTATGACCTGAAAATCCACCTCTTTTACAAATTAAAACGCTCAAAAACCCTTCTCAGATTTTTGATTGGAAGTGTGGGAAAAGTGACAATTAGAGGAATATGCACAAAGAGCCATATAAACAACAAGGACAGACAATATGTCTGGCAGTGAGTGACCTGTACTGGGATGTAGTCAAGAATAACTTTGAAGCTGTGAGAAAGTAGGTTCTAATGTTGGTCCTGAATTTAACACACCAAAGGAACCTCTGGTCCAGTTGCTACCTTCAGGAACCAAATAATCATTTTCATTTTGAGGATGTGTAAGGATTTTAGGGCAGATCATCTTGACGTTTAATGTAATTCTGGCGGGTTTTTTTAACTCTGAAATTCGGCTGGAGAAAGTTATAGTGTATATTGGAAAAATAAACTTTCTGATTAAACTTAGGCTTTCTTGGGACAAAATTAAAGATGCGCTTGTAATCTGCAGATAAGTAAATAAACGCTGATAAAAGAAGCAGTAAGACTGAACTTTGAGGAAGCCTGAGTGCTGTACTTGAAGTGTGAAAGCGCAGTCAGCAGAGCTAAGCTCTGGGACCATTTCAGGAAGGGGGAATTCTGCTCTCTTCCTTGGAATCTGTCCAAGAAAATGCAATCGTTCAGTCATCAGTTCTCCCAGCATACAGCCACTAGACACGAGCCCATCTGCTCCTAGCTGTTTGTTTTGATACTGATATTTACAGTGCTGACAACATAGGTAATCTGTTTTCTGTCTTGTAAAGGAGTTCTTAGTACTTGTTTATGTTTTTGTTGTTTGATTTGTTTCAAAATAGCCTTACACTAAATAATTTCTTAGTAGTGGCATCTGTTTGGATTGATGATGTTCTTCGCTTCCATGTTCCTCAGCATCAGAAGAATGTGCTCTCTTTCCTACAGCATATACTTCAGCTTTAGGGCATGGTCATTTACTTAAAGGAAGTTTTGAGGGGTGGGTTCCTAAGTTATTCAGTAAGAAAACTATTTGCCAGCCACTGATGTCAGCTTGGGGTTTGTGGACAATTGGCCCATCATCGTAGATTGCAGCAGGTCTCTGGTTGTTTGGCTGAGAGTGGGTTTGGCCAACCAGCACCTGGGGGTAAGCATGGCTAGAGGAATGGCTTCTGCTCCATGAACTTTGCTGTAGTTTCTCCTTCTGTCTGTATAAGTGTCTTTTTCTCAGTCTTGACTAATTATTTTTATTTGTTAATAATGGTGTGAGTGGAAACATTATTTTCATACTCACATAGACTGTGCTGACTTTGATAATTATATTGATTTTGCTTATATCTGCTATCTGAATTTCAGTGTTGTTTTTCCAGGTTCCCTGAAAAAAAGTAATCTAGACAGAGCCATTGTTTTAGCTCTTTGCAGTGAAGAATTAAGAAAATTAAAAGGGAAATATAATTGTTCACTTCAACATGTTTTTCTTTTCCTTTTTTTACAGCCACCTGAGGTGTGTAGTGCTTGTCACTCTCAGAGACATCAAGCAAGGAGAAGAACTTTTTTCTAACTACTACACTGTTGTCAACTGAATTAAACTCTGCGTGTGTATGTCAAGCTTCGTGAGTGTTTTTACATAAGAGGGGGCTGCAGCTTTACCATTTAGAAAGCAAGCTGCAGGCTTGTATTTCCCTGAAAGTACGCCACGCTTCAGGGGTGAAGGTTTTACTGTTTACATCATTCAGTTCTTGGCTGCCCACAGCTGATGGTGGTGTTGGTTATTGGTGCTCAGCTTGTCCATACCGCAGCTCACAAAATAAACACCTGTTCTGGACATGGCATTTAATCTTGTCTTTTGCGCAGCTGTCTGTAGCTGTGGCTCGGTTTTAATGTTCTGCCATTTCACTTCTCAGGCTCACAACAGGTACAGTTTGTGTACATGGATTCCCTCTGGTGACTTACAAACCTGGTCTCCTATGACAAAGTGACCCGCTTAGTGGATGAAGGGAAGGCTGTGGATGTTTCCCTGGACTTTATCAAGGCCTTTGATACAGTCTCCCACAGTATCCTCCTGGAGAAACTGGCTGCCCATGGCCTAGATGGGAATACTCTGCACTGGGTTAAAAACTGGCTGGAGGGCCAGGCCCAGAGAGTGGTGGTGAATGGAGTCAAATCCAGTTGGTGGCCGGTCACGAGTGGTGTCCCACAGGGCTCGGTACTGGGGCCACTTCTCTTTAACATCTTTATCAATGATCTGGACGAGGGGATGGAGTGCACCCTCAGTCAGTTTGCAGATCACACTAAATTGGGTGGCAGTGTTGACCTGCTTGAGGGTAGTGAGGGTTTGCAGAGGCTGGACAGGCTGGATTGATGGCCTGAGACCAGTGGGATGAGGTTCAACAAGGCCAAGTGCCAGGTCATGCACTTGGGTCACAGCAACCCCCTGCAGCGCTACAGGCTGGGGGCAGAGTGGCTGGAGAACTGCCTGGCAGAAAAGGACCTGGGGGTGTTGGTCGACAGCCGGCTGAACATGAGCCAGCAGTGTGCCCAGGTGGCCAAAAAGGCCAACAGCATCCTGGCCTGTATCAGGAACAGTGTGGTGAGTAGGACCCAAGAGGTGATTGTCCCCCTGTACTCAGCACTGGTGAGGCCTCACCTCGAGTGCAGTTTTGGGCCCCCTACCATAAAAAAGACATTGAGGTGCTGGAGCAGGTCCGGAGAAGGGCAATGGAGCTGGTGAGGGGTCTGGAGAGTAAGTCATATGAGGAGAGGCTGAGGAAACTGGGCATGCTTAGTTTGGAGAAGAGGAGGCTGAGGGGAGGCCTTATCGTGCTCTATAACTACCTGAAGGGGGGGTGTAGAGAAGCGGGGTTGGTCTCATCTCCCAAGTCACAGGAGACAGGACAAGAGGAAATGGCCTCAAGTTGCACCAGGGGAGGTTTAGATTGGAAATAGGAAACATTTCTTCACTGACAGGGTTATCCAGCATTGGAATAGGCTGCCCAGGGAAGTGGTTGAGGTATTTAAAAGGTGGGTTGACATAGAGCTTGGAGACATGGTTTAGTGGTGGTTTTTTATCAGAGTTAGGTCGATGGTTGGACTAGATGATCTTCTAGATGATCTAGGTCCCTTCCAACCTCGACAATCATGCTATGATTCTATGACTCGCTCCTCAGATGATCCTCATAGCTCATGGTAATTACTAGTTCTCGTGCTGGTGGAGCTGGTGCCTTTGGTGTCTGCTTCCTTTCAGAAAGCGTTGTGGTGCAGCCCGTTGTCGGGATCTGCTGTGAGTCCAGGTGCGGAGCAGTGCCTGCCACGGGGCAGGAGGGAGGGACGGCGGTGTGTGGCTTCAAGCCCTGACCCAATCCTGGTTTCGATGGTTGAGTGGAAGTTCCCCAGCATGGGGCAACTTCCACAGCTTTTATTCTCAGGGAGGGGATGGGGAACCTCCTGTTGCAGCGTAGCTGGAGGAAATAATGCCGATTTTTTTTTTTTTTTTTTTTGTTTCTTTTAGTGAGTTGCTGGCATGAACAGAGCCAGCCATTCCCACGTTAATTCTTGCTGCCGCCTGCAAACTGCCTTCAGAAAGTAAACAAGAGGCAGCTTCTCCGTCTGTGGGTCCGGCTAAACAGCTTGGGAAAGGAAAATCACCCCAGTGCTTCCTGCGGGAGCGCAGGCGAGGCTCCCCGTGGATCAGGTTGCCCAGAGAAGTTGTGGATGCCCCATCCCTGGAAGTGTTCAAGACCAGGCTGGATGGGGCTTCGAGCAACCTCATCTGGGGGGAGGTGTCCCTGCCCATGGCAGGGGGGTTGGAACTCGATGATGTTTGAGGTCCCTTCCAACCCAAACCATTCTATGATTCTATGATCCATGGCTGGCAGAAGCTCAGGAGAAGGGAGGATGGGGCAGTGGTGTGTCCCAACAGACCCCGTAGTGGCTGGGGCAGCCGGGGCGCCCTGCCCAGCTGCAGGAGCAGCTCCTCTCCTTTCAGAATGCCACGCTGCTCCGCGTCTGTGCTGCTTGGTCTCCTTCCAGGCCTGAACCTTCTCTCTCGTATTCATCTGGAAGTTCCTCCTCAGCCAGAGAACGCTGGCTTTTTCAGGAAGATGTAAATACCAGAGCTATGAGGTAGCGCCGTGTGGCTCAGCGTGGGCTGTACGAGCTTTAAAAAGGTGCTGGGGACAACTTCTAGTGACAGTCCTGATGTCTTCGCTGTGTGGTAGCAAAGCAGGCAGTGAGCTCCAGCCTGCTGCAGAAGACACTCGTCATCTGTCGCCTTGAGGATCCCCTTTTCTCCCGAGCTGGGCCTCCCCCCAGATCTCTCTAGGAGGAGATTTTTGGGCATCTTTTGAAGTCTCCAGAGAGGAGGTGGGTTGTCCTGGCACCTGCGGTGTTGCTTGGCTCAGCAGGACAGGGCTTTGTGGGCAGGTGCCAGAAAAGGCAAGTGCTCCCCAGGCATTCCCCAGGCTGGGATGCTGTCATGCTGGGGCATGGGTTACCGCAGCTGCCTTGTTCCACACTTGTGAATACTTTTTGAAATTTGAAAGCGTGGTCCTGTCTGGCGGCAGTGGACCTCGGGTTTCCAACTCATTTACCGGGGGTGGTTTACTGTACGGCGCTGCTGGACGGGGCTGTGGTGCCCGTCACCAGGAGGGGACGTGGGGCTGGGTTCTCCTTGCTGAAATACAGAAACCTGACAGCCTGCTCCCCTCATCCCTGAGGGAAAGCAAGACCTGCTGGTGGCTATGGGAAGCCAAGAAGTGACAGGAGGAGGAGGAGGAGGTGCAAGTCAGGTGGCCCATCTGAGCAGGAAGCAGCCCAACGTGGGGACGGCAGGAGGCAGGAAGATGGCGGAGTGGGAGTAACGGTCCAGTGAAGTGCTACAGCCCATGAAAGGGCTTCAGGTATGTCTGGCTTTTCCTTGTTGTCTTCGTATTCCCATCTCTTCATGAAAGGTGAAGGTCATTCTGATCCCCTGTGTGCCCACTCAGGACCACCAGCCCCTGCCGCCAGGGCCAGGGGGAGAGGAGGCTGTGGTCTGACCTCATTTCAGATGCCATGTGCAATCTGATAATGACCCAGTAAAATTCTCTATGCCGTCCGTTTATGGTTTGTTAATAATAATGAATTATTCATTACAGTAAGTATGATCTCTTTCTTGAAAGATGATTTTCCTGGGTGATTTTCACTGGAATTCCCTAAAAACAGGGACTGACTTGGCTAACTCTGCCTCTGCCTGCCTGTGTCTATTTAGTGGTAGAAGAATGAAAATCACATTCAAATTTCATGTAGTTTCAGTTACTGACAGGGCAGATCTGCAAAGTTCTCCCAGATGCAGACCCCGTGGTCTGCACATGTTAAAATACAGAATCACAGAAGCACAGAATCTTCATGGTTGGAAGGGACCTTTGAGATCATCGAGTCCAACCACAAAAAAAAAAAGAAACCAAAAATCAACCAACCAACCAAAAACCCCCCCACACACAACCCACAACACAAGCCTAACCAACACACACTCACCACACCCACCCACACCCAGACACAAACCAACAATCTCAGGCACTAGATCATGCCCTGAAGTACCATGTCTATACATTTCTTAAATACCTCCAGGGATGGTGACTCCCCCACCTCCCTGGGCAGGCTGTTCCAGTGCCTGACCACTCTCTCAGTAAAGTAATTCTTCCCGATAACTAATCTAATCCTCCCCTGCCGCAACTTCAGACCATTTCCTCTGGTCCAGTCATTAATAACTTGGGAGAAGAGGCCAACACCCACCTCTCTACAGCCTCCTTTCAGGTCGTTGTAAGGGCAATGAGGTCTCCCCTCAGCCTCCTCTTCTCCAAACTGAGCATACCCAGTTCCCTCACCCTCTCCAGACCCCTCACCAGCTTGGTGGCTCTCCTCTGGACACGCTCCAGCAGCTCAATGCCCTTCCTGTAGTGAGGGGCCCAGAACTGAATGCAACACTGGAGGTGAGGCCTCACCAGTGCCGAGTACAGAGGCACCATCACTGCCCTAGTCCTGCTGGCCATGCTGTTCCTGATACAAGCCAGGATGCTGTTGGCCTTCTTGGCCACCTGGGCACACTGCTGGCTCATGTTCAGCCGGCTGTCCACCAACACCCCCAGGTCTTTTTCTGCTGGGCAGCTCTCCAGCCACTCTTCCCCAAGCCTGTAGCGCTGCAGGGGGTTGTTGTGACTGAAATGCAGGACCTGGCACTTGGCCTTGTTGAACCTTATCCCATTGGCCTTGGTCCATTGATCCAACCTGTCCAGATCCCTCTGTAGAGCCTTCCAACCCTCAAGCAGATCAACACTCTCACCTAGTTTGGTGTCATCTGCAAACTTACTGAGGGTGCACTCAATCTCCTTATGTAGATCATCAACAAAAATATTAAACAAGACTGGCCCCAAAACCGAGCCCTGAGGGACACCACTGGTGACCGGCCGCCAACCGGATTTCACCTCATTGATCACAACTTCTGAGCA